TCATCTGAACACTTTTGATGAGAAGTCAGATGAGGCCATCTTCCTAGGATATTCCATGGTAAGCAAGGCATTCAGAGTCTTCAACAAAAGAACCATGATTACGGAAGAGTCAATACATGTTATTTTTGACGAAAAACATGTGGATGACAAGCCATCAAAGCATGACCATGAAGTTCTGGATCTATCAGACAAGGATGAAAAAGTCAATAAAGGAGATAGAATGAAGCCCACGGAATTCATTCCATTCAGAAGTCTGCCTCTGAAGACTTCACTGAGGAATCCAAATTTAGACAGTGCTGAGCCCTCCGGAAATCTTGGCCAGCCTTCCAATATTCCGGATATCTCAAACGGGAACAATTCCGGAAATGGCGACCCAGTGCCAATCTATCCGGAAACACCAACAACCTCTGTTCTTCAACCAGAAGCTGAACTAAATCAACCAGTCAATCCCAATCAACACCAAGAGCTTGGTATGATACATTGTCTCAATTTCTTATAGACAATGGATTTACCAAAGGAGTAATTGACAAGACATTATTCAAGCTACAAGATGGAGAAGATCTCCTATTAGTTCAGATCTATGTGGACGATATCATATTTGGCTCAACGAAGGAAGATCTATGCACCAAGTTTTCAACCCTCATGCAAAGAAAATTTGAGATGAGCATGATGGGGGAACTCAACTACTTCCTTGGCCTTCAAATAAAACAGAGAAGTGAAGGCACTCTCATCAATCAAGCTAAATATACAAGGGATCTTATCAAGCAGTTCAATGTTGATCAGAAGTCATCCGTTTCTGTCCCCATGAGCACATCCACCAAACTTGATATGAATGTAGACGGAAAGGATGTAGATCAAACTCTCTACAGAGGGATTGTCGGATCTCTACTTTACCTTACTGCAAGCCGTCCGGATATCTCATATGCAGTAGGTGTTTGTGCCAGATTCCAGTCAAAGCCAAAGGAAAGCCATCTGATAGCAGCTAAAAGGATTCTTAGATACCTCAAAGGAACTCAGAACATGGGTTTGTGGTATGCTA